CAGGTAGTATAGAGAATTTAAAAAGAATTAATATAAATTCAGTCGTATGTCAATTCTTCATTTTCAGATGCAAAAAGAATTCTTTAAAGTTCAGTTCAGTGAAAAGAATTCATTTTGCGTCTAAAAATGAACTCAGAATTGATGATATTCGCGTTTTGCGCTTGTTCACACTTACGTTGCTGAAACATATCCTTTAACTGTAACTTAGGTCCCGTGGTTGCGCTCCATTATGCATAACACTCTGCTTTGAAAATTATCATCTGAAAGAAATTTTATCATAATCACGGAAAAAAAGTAAAAATAAAAAGAAAATAATAAAATGTATTAAAAAAATATAAATATATTAAAAAATATTAAAAAATTAAAAATATAAAAAAGTAAAAAATTATAAAATAAGCAAAAATGTAAAAAAAAATACAAAAATTAAACATTAAAAACTAAATAAAAAAGACTTTGCATGAATCTATATGTTTATATTTATTTATGTTGTCATTATAGTACTTAGGACTCGAAATTTCATAAATCTATAGTCAGAATTGGAATCAGCGATACCAAAACCCCCAAATTTGAGAAAATTTTGAGAAAATAAACATTTTTTATATTTGATCGTGCGTTCCCTGCCGTCAAAGCTAGAGTTTTGTGGCTCTGCACAAATCTTAAAATTTTGTGCCATGTGTATGTTACTTATATAGAAACATTTTTTTGGAAAAAAACACTTTTTTAATGAAAATATGCTGGCAGCCTAAAAGTTAACACTAGAAGGACTGAGGTAGCCAATTTGGCTTTTTGCGACATTCATACTACTCTAATTTTTTCAACTTTGTTTTCAAGTGATATTCTTTTATGATTTTTCATCATTTCTCATGTTCTTAATTTTGGTAAAAAAAATGTTTCAACAAACGATCTGGAACTTGAAAAAAGGGGTTTTAGTTCCTTGTTCGGTGTTTCGAATCTCATCGAAAAATATGTAATAAAGTTATTGACACGGTGATAAAATTAAGTTTTTGTCAAAATTGTAATTTGTGGAATAAAAAAAAGACGAGGCCGTTAATAAATACAATGAATGATACTAAAATCATCAAGAAAAGTGTAGTATAAACCATAGTGATAGTGCAAGATGGAGATAAACGCTATCATCGAGATGTTTATGTCGTCAGAAGAAAAACATGGTGCCAAATACGTAACATACGTCGGCTATGGTGATAACAAAACGTTGAAGGGAATCTTAGAAGCACAATCTTATGGCAATATCTTATAGTAACAGTGTAAAAGAAAGAATGCATGTACAAAAACGAATGGACACGCGATTACGTAATGCTAAAAAAAATAATAAGAGTATTGGTGGTAAAGGGAGAGGAAAGTTGACTGATAAAGTAATTCACGAACTGAAAAATATTATGGGTTAGCGATTCGTATAAATTTTCATTCCTTTGATAAAATATAAAATGCTGTTTGGGCCACCTTCTATCATAAAATTTAACCAACAATAATCCGAAACATATGTATTGTCCCTCTGGAGCAGATAGTTGGTGTAAGTGGAGCAGAACGGAAGCTACGGGCAAATTAGATGAATTTGAGCACAAACAACCAGTACTTTCTGATAAAGTGCTTGAAATTATAAAACCAATATATGAAGATTTGTCGGAGGAAGGACTATTGCGAAGATGCTTAGGAGCGGAAACGCAAAATAACAATGAGTCGTTGAATGCTATAATCTGAACATTTGCTCCAAAAAATATTCAGTCAGAAGCTGCTAGTTGAAATCGCAAGTTTTTAGCTGTTATTATTTTTAATGAAAGATCCTGTAGTATATTACGAGTGTTCTAATCATTGGGATTGACTATCGAACAGTAGGCGGAACTATATATCAATAACAGAGATAACGACAAAATATAACGTTCGGAGCGTCGGTCATCCGAACTAGCCAAGAAGGTGAAAATCGCTCACAAAGAAGAAAGGGCGACCGAACAAGTGTTTTTTGGAGAAGAAGAAGGACTATTGTATGGAACTGAACTGGCAGATTAACCGTAAGTATATACTTTTCTATGAAATTAATAGGAGAAACTTTAAACGCATTTTTCTCGAAACCTTATTTTTTTAAACTGGCTTCCATGATTTTTCCATTCTCAAGATTTATTTGACCGATTGACTTCAAATTTGGAGAGAATCTTCAGTAAACATGCCTTTATCGCTGGAACTAGAGATTTTAAAAAATATTGAGTTTTAATATTTTCTAAAATATTAAAACAAAAAACAAAAAAAAATTTTTTTGTTTTATAAACAAAAAAAACTAAAAAATAGTAATTCGAAATTTGAAGTGTTGCCATTTTTTATTTATCGAGACTTCTCCCTAGTTTCCGTTATAACTATATCATTCTTAATGAAGATACTTTTTCCCTCTCTGTTTCAGATTAGCGGATCGGCTGAAATTGAGGAAGCCAATGGAATACCTTTTTTAGAAGAGTTATTAAATAAAAAATTATAACTTCCACAATTTTTAATATTTTTGGATGAAAAAAATATTGTATATACACTTCTAAGATGAATAAATATATCTGCAAAATCTCGATACAAAACAGCGTACTTACCATTATTAAAAAATCACAAAGAAAGCCGAGAAAATGACAATCTAGACAACAATACTCCATTAAGTTCAATCCTTTAGTGCCCCGAGTGAGCGCTCAGGACCGTAAAACGCCGTGGGCTCTTCAAGGGCCCTACTTGTCCGTTTTTCTCCCTTTTTTTTATATCACAGGAGAATAAATATGGATGAGTAAGTGAGTGGGTATGTGGGTGGGTGCCTGACGGGGACTAGGGGGTGGCAAGTTTTCAATGAGGGTGATGTGTGGCTGTTTTTGTGTGCGGTTGTGAGTGCATGGATAATTTGAATGTGTTTAATGCGAGTGGGTGGAGTGATTGCGCTTTATGTGCCGGAGGAGGAAGGTTTGGTACGCTTCCTTCTAGTGTGTGGGTGACTTGAATGCTTTTTGTCGGTGGTTGAGTACCGTGAATGATTTTAGATGTATGTGTAGAAAAGGAAGAAAAGGAAAAAAGGAAGAGAAACTGACAAGCAGGGCCCCTGAGGAGCCCACGGCGTTCTACGTCCTTGAGCGCTCACTCAGGGCGCTAAAGGACTGACAGATTTAATTAATTAATATCTCATGAACTAATTGTCGGATCTAAAAATGGAAGAGGAACTTTCCAAATTATACCCCTTATCTACCCTTAACGGGTGTCCTTAACGGGTCCCAGTTTTGGGACACCCTGTATAGATATGTTACTACTGTCATCAAAAAGTATCGGGAATTATTTATTTAATTGCGCGCGTGCAAGTTATCGTTTTTTCCCAAGTTGGTACGACTTTCATCGACATCTAGCTGCAATCCGTATGTCATTATCTGTTTTCGTTTGCAAATAAACGTTTGTTTTGTGTGCAAAGAATTTTTCTCCAGAAATCTTCCAAAATGTCGAGTGTAATTGAGCAAAGAACATGCATTAAATTTTGTTTTCGCAACAGAATTGCTGCTACAAAAACGTTAAAAATGTTGCAATAGCTTTTAGTAATGATAATCTATCAAAAATAATTGTTTTCGAGTGCTACAAGATATTCAAGGAAGGCAGAGAACGCGTCGAAAATAAACCATACTCTGGTAGACCATTTACTTCAGCTGATTAGCAACACGTCGCTCAAATCAGAGATTTGGTACTCAATAATCGTTTAAAAATTAGGGACATTATTGAATATATTCCAGTATCATTTGGATCTTGTCAAGCAGTTTTAAAAAATAGCTTGCTACGCATCACTTCTCGAATTGTTCTGAAAACGTTGAATTTTTGCTCAAAACAATATGTTTAAGTGGCCGAAGAGATGCTTTCTGAAGGCAAATCATCTGATGTAGCACCGAGTTTCTCCTTTTTCCTCGACTAAAATTTCCGCTTTGTGGTCACCGTTTTAAGTCAATTGACAAAAATATTGACATAAGTACATTATAATGTAAGGGAATTACTTTAAAGGGGACGAAATAAATTTTGATGAATAAGTTTAAATTTTGAGTTTTATTGAACCATTCCCGCACGCGATACTTTTTGATCATAATAGTATACAAATCCTGTATATAGATGTGTATACAGGATGTTCTTTCAGATTCTTCTCCGCAATTTTTGTGGGAACGTAGAACGGATTGAGGTGAACATAAAAGTTCGATACCGTTTTGTGATATTTGTAATAAATTTCGAGATATTAATTAAAGAAGATCGATGAATGATCACGCGCGATACAGTAGCTGTAGTGACGCCGTCTGCCGTTATATATTTATACATTAGGTCAAACTGAACTGAAAAAAAGTCCTCTATTATTTTGCAAATGATTACATAGATTTTTAGATATTAATTTGAGAATTAATAAGAAAGTTATTAAGAAGATTTGTGTATTATCGCGTATAACCGTAACCATTTTTTTTATTAAAATAAAATTTCGACTCTATAAATTTCGACTCAATATACCAAAAATTGAAAAAAAAAAATTAATATAATGTAACAATAACAGTTTAATTAATTTTTAATTAATTAGTAATATTATTGTAAGAACGTTAAATTTTATAATTATTTATACATTTCGTTTCTTTCTATTTACTATTTACGAAAAAATATGCTCGGAACCAAATTGACTCCTACGGTCCTTCTTTTCAACTCCGAAGATCCTTCTTTTCAATTTCGGCCCTTCTAGTATTAAATCGACTTGAAAATTTCACAAGTTAATTCGCCTGAAGACAATTTCCTAAGCAATTAGCATAAAAATAAAGTTTCGGTATATTCTGTAGTCGAAATAGTCCCTGTACTATTTTAAAATAAACTTAAGATAATTTTAAGAGTAAAATCTAATTATGAATATTGCGCTCAATCTATGGTCAAATCTTATTACAGATACTTTCCTGTAAGTATAATTTTTATTTATTTGTTTTTAATATAATTAATCACTTTCATCTTGTTGACTTTTCCAGAGACTGGCTGGAGAGCGAAAACTTTGCCAACAGACCATCCTGTCTCTCAATATGAATTCGACGTATTAATTGGAGCTGATGGCAAAAGAAATACTTTAGAAGGTTTTAAACGAAAGGAATTTCGAGGAAAACTGGCTATTGCAATTACAGCAAATTTTATAAACAAACGAACTGAGGCAGAGGCTCGTGTGGAAGAGATTAGTGGTGTTGCTTTTATTTTTAATCAAAAGTTTTTTAAAGAATTGTATCAAGAAACGGGTATTGACTTGGAAAATATTGTCTATTACAAAGACGACACACATTACTTCGTTATGACTGCAAAAAAACATAGTTTAATCGACAAGGGCGTTATTTTGCAGGTAATAAAATAAAATTATAGACCTATATTTATAGATACTTAATATGACTTGTTAATACTTCTTCATAAATCTGTTTTTCTAACGTTTCGTGAATATTCCAGTTCGCTTTTTCAGAAAAGTTTTTAAATTAACCCGAAAGCCATATTTTCAGTAAGAACTTTCTGAATTATGAGTCTTCAAAGTTTTAGTACTGCAAGTATTAGCACTACCACGTAAAGGTAGTCCGGTTGGATTTACATTACATGTAATGCGTACATACGCCATATCTATCGCCTATATAGATTGTGGATGTATTTATTATTTTATTAAGTGTCCAACAAATAAGATAGTTTTCTGCTGCTTGATAGTATCCCGAACAACCGTAAAATGTATTTAAAACATTTTTTTTTAAATTCTGGCGTAATGGAATCTGAAACGTTTTACTTTTTTCTTTTAAATCGTCTATAGTTCTAAATTCCGTTTTATAGACCTTACTTTTTAAATATTTCCAGTAGAAAAATTCTAACGGATTTAGATCAGAAAATCTGTGACCATTCTATCGTACCTTTTCTATCAATCCATCGACCAACAAAAGTTTCATGTAGAAAATGACCAACATTTAAATCGAAATGAGCTCCATCTTAAAACCGAACATTTTCGAAAACATTTTTAGCAGTGTTTTGGATAACTGATACTACTTAGTCTCTTAACAAATTCAAATAACTTTCTGCTCTCAAATTACCGTCGATAAAAAATTATTTTATATATATATATGATACAATTACAAAATATCCCGACCCAAACATTTACTTTTGTAACATTGCACTCGAATAGTATACCGACATAAAAAATAATCGGCGCTTACATCGACTCCCCACGTCGCTTCTCATCCCACGCGATACTCTAGCAAACATGCAACAAAGCGCCGAATTGACGAGTAACCGGAAAACGCATTGACAGTCGCTGAAGCTGATGGAGCAATAAACGAGACAATCTGAACGGTAACGCTGCCGAGAACGATTAATATAAATCTGCGATGACGGATAACAAGCAGTCTCGAATAATTAACCAAAAGATATAGCCGTTCTCGACATCAAAGTTTCCATTGTACATTCGCAGTATTCTGAAAAAATGCTGTGGATACGCAGTTACACCATTTTAGATAAAGCTATGGATACGTAACTTTATTATTCCCGTCAATGCCGTCATACGCAGCTAATCCATTCCGCTTAGAAGCGGCGAGCTTAAGACTGATTGTCTGCCGTGAATGCGCAGCGACCCGATTTTTCTGTTCCATTCAGACGTTGTAAATACGGGACGCCTCCATCATAAATTCGAATGATGTGGATACACAGCTGTCCAGCCTTCTGTTGACGAACCGTGAATTCGCGATGAGGCAAACTTAAGGGGACATTCTACTTTCTCATCGAAACATTTTTCTGATTTTCAGGAACTTTTTTTTATGGCAAAATAATAACGCAGCAATTTGAAACTTTGACATTATATTGTAATATCCTCAAATTATACAAAAAAAATTTTTTTAAATATATTTTTAAGTTTATTAATACAAGTTTTTCTCGATTGCGGGAGCGCCTCCAAAAACTGCATGCTTGCTGGCGGACATGATTGCGATCGTCAGAATAATCTATTAAAAAAATACAAAAGAAATCTTAATTTGTATATGAACCGCTACTGCATGAACCACGAAGAAAGAGTTTGCATGAAAAATTTCAAAATGGCGGACTTTCAAACATTAGACATGAGAAAATAGCATTTTATTGTCTTTTTATGATGAAAAAATGGGAAAATATTGATTAATTAACACGTCCGTGGTTCATGCAATAGCCACAGGCATGTAGAATCATATGTTAAAATTTTAGACCGATTGATTGAATAGTTTTTTTGGAATCGTGTCCGCCAGGTATAAAAAGTGGTTTTGAGAAAAGCGCATTTAAAGTTTTTCGTATCGAACTTTTGTATATAAAAGCTACTAATTACGCCTAATCAGCTACGTCTGCTGCATACAAAATGTCTTCATTCCTGGTAGACTGCGGTCTTAAGGGCTCTTTTTTCGATGCAAGCTATTCTGCTTTTCTTAGAGGCGTCGGTGCTGTGACAGTTGGCTTGCGCGATGCTCTGGCCGTCCTGCTTGTGCGCAAGTTGAACGGCTGCGGATCCAATTGTAACTTGCATGACTTCCATTATTTTCAAGAGAGTGCAAAAGCCTTAATTGAAGACACATGCAGACGTATATGCAGCAATTTGCAGTATTTTTCTGCCAGTGAAAATGTGTTTAGGAACTAAATGCCACACGCACGCGTTGAAGCTTTCATTGTTGTTTTGCGTGTTGTTTCCTAAACACCGTTCCAAAAGTTTGTCTGCCGTTAATACAGCAGATGGTTTGAACCAGATATAATAGAAGTGTGCCAAGAGAAGGGAGCGGCGCGCTTCTACTTGCGAGAGGTAGGTCGGCTCTCAGACCTATAACTTTGCAAATATTGGGAATTTCTCGCTAAAAATTTAAGGGCATATTCTCGAAAATATATGCTTTCGCGAATAAGACAATAAAAAGAAAATCAATTTTTTTGAACCGAGAAAGTAGAATGTCCCCTTAATTCTATCGACCGTAGATTCGTAGTCACTCATCCCGCTTATAATCTAATAGACGAAATGAGCGTTCAATCGGTGTGCATGTAGATTGAAATCGTGCATATACAGTCCCCTACCAAGTCGCCGTCACATCTCACACGACACGCGTTAGCCGAAATCTCAACCAATAGATTTTTCGCGGTACGCTTCTTAAAGACAAACGTGAAAAGAGAGTACCGCAGAATAGAATAAATAGTGTAACAGCGAAGAGATTTGCGCCGCCCAGAAGAGATATTGCTCAACCAGCATAAACACTGCCGATAACATTGTCGCAAGCTAGAAAGAAGAAAATAAATAGACCGTGCCATTTTCATAATTATCTCAACAAATTAAAATTAGCATAAAATTGACTCATAGGATTCTAAATCAAATATAACAACTTGAATAACAATTTAACGATGATCAATTCTTTAATTGATTTACCAATGAAGCAACTTTTGAATTAAATTGATCATTTAGTTGACATAATACGAGATATTGGGCTGACGAAAATTCTCACAGGATGAGAAACTATCACACGCAATATCCTCAGAATGTGTCTAGATATAGCTTCCGGAATGGAGCCGTGTCTTGAATCAGCGATATTGGCATATCGCTGATTCAAGACACGGCTCCATTCCGGAAGCTATATCTAGACACATTCTGAGGATATTGCGTGTGATAGTTTCTCATCTTGTGAGAATTTTCGTCAGCCCAATATCTCGTATTATGTCAACTAAATGATCAATTTAATTCAAAAGTTGCTTCATTGGTAAATCAATTAAAGAATTGATCATCGTTAAATTGTTATTCAAGTTGTTATATTTGATTTAGAATCCTATGAGTCAATTTTATGCTAATTTTAATTTGTTGAGATAATTATGAAAATGGCGTATAAAGATTTTCAGTTATACTTAGCAAAAACTCTAAAGTCTTACTATTGTTAATAGCCTTTGAGCCTTCTAGATCTTTGTTTGTCTTTAATTGATCCAGTTTTTAATTAGCGTAAATTTGATCGGACTATATCCACGTGGTACATTTTGGATAGAGCCAATACCTGCGGTACTTAAACTTTGAAGATTCATAACTCAGAAAATTTTCATCAAAGAAAGATTTGTAACCTATGTTTCGGAAATGTCTCAATATCAATTATAAGTATATGCTATGAAAAATAGGGTTTTTTGATTTAAGATTTTTATTTTGATCTTGATAACGCTTCTTAAGGTCAAACGCTATTCCAAGGTTAAATAAATATCAACATCTAATATTTTTTTAACCACACTTTTGTTTCAAATATTTTTAAATAAATATCTGAGGTACTAATTTCCTGAAATAATTTGCTGTTTCAGAACTTTTGCTACTGTATATTATGTATTATACAAGTTGTCTAACGAAAAGTTAAACAACGTTCGTGTGCATGTAGATTGAATCGAATTGAACAAAAAAAAACTCTTTATTACTGACAAACAACTACGTAAAATTTTTCAATGAAATTCTTATTTCATACTGAGAAATATTAGGGTAAAGTATAAAATATTACGGAAAATTTAATTTTTTATTATTTTATTCTAGTTTATTTCTACTATGTGTAGAAGTATTCTAGGAATCGATTTGTACTAAAAAAAATTATAATTTTATTTAAAAAATTCAAACTGATTTTAGAAAAAACATAGTGCATCCATTATAGGATTAAGCCAATAATATTATCATATGTCCCCCTGAAAACCCTAAATTTGGATCTATAATATTTTTCTCAATAACATTTACAAGAGGAGGGGTAGGTAGTGTACTCATGGATTTTGCTAAATTCAGATATATTTTAGTACTATGCCCCTAATATTAATACTAATTCGTGGACAAATGGCACGATGCAATACTTAAGAGAGATTCACGAGAAATTTGCATCGAAAATTTCTCTTGCGTTTTTTATACCGAATTAGCGAACGAGGTTAGCAGTTAACAGTGTAATGCAGCGGATAAGGCGTAGGATTATAACGCTGCTCGTTGCATGTTCAAATCCTGATTTTTCAAAATTTCTTTATCTAAATTTACAGTAAATTTACAGTAAATTGCAATATGTAAACGTATGTGGAGTAAAAAAATTATTATTTAATAATTATTAAATTTAATGTTCACACTTTAAATGTAATATTTTATATTCGCATACTTTAACGCCTGTAACCGTATAAATAGTACTGATTCGCAATACAATTAAAGACACAAAAATCACTTTTAAATTAAAAAATTTTGCAAGAAATTTTATTTTTACATTATATTACATGACTAGTCAGTGCTTTTATACTGCTATAGAAGTTTTTCTGCTGGTGAAAACTCGATTATAGCATATCTGCTATCTGCGGAAACCGTTATTTCCTATCTGGTAGAGGGGACTAGAGACATAGGTAGCTCTTACTTTAAATTTGGTTGTTTGGTTCACTCCATTATCAGTTGAGCAACCGTTTATAACGTGTCGTACAGTTCAAATTAATTACTGAAAGGAATATTTTTTTGAATGTAAATGACGTCTGGTTCTCTCTAACAAATTTGGAAAAATTATATATTTGTAAGCTTTATTCAATGTGTTTGATGTAAATCGATGTTGTGCTTCAAATGTTTTTTGGATAATTATTATCTAAAAATTTGTACATCTTTCAAAGAGGATTCCGAAGAGAATTCCGATATATAAAAATACAGCAGATTTAAAAATAATTTTGGAGTTTTTAATTGTATTGCGAATCAATACTATTCATATGGTTATAGGCGTTAAAGTATGCGAATATAAAATATTACACTTCAAGTATTAACATTAAATTTAATAATTATTAAATAATAATTTTTTTACTCCACATGCATTCACACATTGTAATATGTTGTAAATTAAAAAAAAAATTGGAAAAATCACGATTCGAATATGCAACGGGCAACGTTTTAATCCTACGCCTTATCCGCTGTACTACGCTGCTATCTGCTAATCTTGTTCGTTAATTCGGTATAGAAGGCGCATGAGAAACTTTCGATGCAAATTTCTCGCGAATGCTTGAATATTGCATCGTGCCACTTGTCCATGAATTAGTGTAGGGTAGCACTAAAACATATCTGAAGTTGAATGAAATCCATGAGTTAATATTTGACCCTCCCCTTGTTAGTTTCGAAGTTGGTGTATTTCATTTGAAATAGAACACCTTGCATATATAATATCAAATATTCGTGTGTACACGTATATAATTTTTTTTAATTCTCTTATACATTATTGATTTCTAGGATCACGCTGATACTGCGAAATTGCTTGCCAAAGAAAATGTAGATCGAGAGGCATTGATGTTGTATGCACGAGAAGCAGCGGAATTTTCGACAGAATATCAAATGGTAGATATGGAATTTGCAGTAAATCATTATGGACAACCGGATGTAGCCATGTTTGACTTCACTTCAATGTACGCAGCTGAAAATGCAAGTCGTGTTTTGGAACGCCATGGTTATCGATTACTCATGATTCTTGTAGGCGACAGTCTTCTTGAGGTAAATAATTTCCTTTACGTTCACTCACAAAATATATTCCGGATTTGTGTAAAATGTGTATGCTTAGATACGTCCAATATTCTCTTTTTAATTTAAACGTTATCAAAATACATATATTATTGCAAAAAAAACATTTATTACAAAATTTCATAAAAAAAGAATTTAGTCATATGAGAAATATTGTCAGGATGCTATATGTATCTTGTCTTAAAATTAAATTATTTTCTATTGATTTTAATAAATTCATTTTTGAAGAAGCTAAGTCATGACATGTAAAAATTATACTGTTATATATACAAATAGTAGTATCGTAAAAATTATTAAAGGTCTTCACAGAATTCATATAAAGTCAATCCTTTAAAAAATTAAAAACTTTGACATATTTTATTAAGATCATAATGTCGAACAATATGTAAAAATTTAACTTTCTTATTTCTTGTTTATTAAAAAGTTATTAATAAAAGTTTCGTAATTAGAATGCACTACTCTTCTGACAACTTGTACATTTAAGATTACATTTAAGAAATCTATAGGATACTAGTGAGATTTTTTCAAAAAATAAAAATGCCGTTATCGTATATACAAAATTTCAGAAACATATACAATTTGCAAAAATATATATAGAAATATAAGCCTATACATATACCAGGTGTAGAAGTATGAAACCGGAATTTTTTTATACAAATAAGACGTCTGTTGTTCGAAAGTGATAAATAATACTTTATTCAAAATAATTTCCACTGTTTTGAACACATTTTTCCCACCTCTCTGGCAGTTTATGAATGCCGTGCCAAAAAAACTTTTCATCTTTTGAAGCGAACCAGTTATCTAGCCATTTTTCCACATTTTCATACGAATCGAAGCGTTGGTTAGCGAGAGCGTGTCCTAGCGATGCGAACAGGTGATAATCGGACGGAGCCAAGTCTGGAGAATAAGCCGCATGCGGTAGTAATTCCCAACTGAACGACTCGATCGTTTCCTTGACCCGTTTTGCTGTATGTGATGGGGCATTATCATGGAGCAAAATGACATTGTGTTGCCTTTTTGCATATTCTGGTCGTTTTTTAGTCAATGTTCGATTTAAATCGATCATTTGTTGTTGGTAGCGATTAGTATTGACGGTTTGACCAGGTTTCAGCAGTTCATAGTTCATAGTTCATAGTTCATAGTTCTTCGTTCCTCACGTCAAAATCACCACTTTTGAATTTTTTAAACCACTCGAAACACTGAGATTTACCAAGAGCATATTCACCGTAAGCTTCGACAAGCATTCGATGTGATTCTGCAGCAGTTTTCTTTAAATGATAACAGAAAATCAATGCTGTCCGCAAATCATAGTTAGTAGGCTCGAAACGTGACATGTTTAAGGTTATACAAAAATATACTAGAGAATGAAAGTTGGGGTTATGTTTGTTGACAATATTCGTCAGCTGTTAGGAGAATATAATAGCGCGGCAGTAGCGGTCTTACGGTCACTAAACTGAACGCTGGCACCATTTATAGGGGAATTCCGGTTTCATACTTCTACACCTGGTAGATATTTGATGCAATGCGTATATTTTTTCGTATGTAGATAAAATTTGTTAAATTGAACGAAAATTTCTCTACTATTTTACAAACAACCACTTGAAGTTTTGTGATATTAATTATTTAAAATTAGCCAATGAATGTATGTGATACTATAGGATGAACTCTTTAGTTTTGTCTAAAATAGAATCTTATCTAAGATACGTAAAACAATTGATAATTTCTTGACAACAACAGACAGTACAATGCTGGACAATGGAGGTATAATAGTACTATCCAGCACTATATACTGCTCGCCGTTGTTAAAGAATTGCCAATTATTTTAGGCATCTTAAATAAAACTTCTTTTTACACGAGCCAAAAAAGCTAGTTCCACCGTATTATGCGCACTCATTGGCTAATTTTTATTGGATAATTTTCTATCATTAATATCTGTTTGTCTTTTGGTGACTCTCAGTTCCGTGTGGTTGCTCATTACCATCTGAAGTGGCCTACTAGGTCACCGGGATTTTCTTGAAAAGAAAAAGGAGAGGCTCGGGCTTGCAGATGCCAGCTACGAGTAAGAATCCATACTGTTTTATTTTTTAGGTTTGAGTCCTCGTTCTCCTTTCACGGGGATTGGTACCTCTTTCTTCAAGGGATCCTATAGAGCGGATTCCTTTTGTAGGAGTGAAACAGGACTCTCCTAACTTTAGGATATGTCCATCGATCGGAAGTCACTGTCTCTTCCACCTTAGACTGTACCTCAAGCATTGTAATTTGGATCTCTTCCTATCCGATCCCTATAGCCTGACAGACCAGGGATCCCTCTTTCCAATCTTATCCGTCTATCGTATTGCTTTACCGCAGAAAAAACACCTGAACTCGGACTGATAGTTTCGAGTCCGATGCTTCATCTTCTCGCAGTTTTAATGCCTGCTACCAATGTTGTTCCCCAGGATAAGCGATCTGCGTATTCTTAAATTGCAGGTATCTATAGCATTTTCTTGCCCTCAATATCTCCACTCTGATAGAGGATCACTTTACATAAATTTTGCTTGCGTCTTTGACTTTCAGAGCAGACTCAATCCGACACATTGTTCACATAGTTTCCAAGCTGTTTTTATTTTACAGGATGAAATCAGAATCACATCCAGCGATTACCTTTCGTCTGTGGCTATTTTGGACACGCTCTTTTTCTAGATGACGAACCTAGTCTAGATCCGGGTTTCCGTTTGCGTAACCGTCGGCCTATTTCGGACTGCTGCAAAGCTTCCTTTATTCACGCTGCTAAAATATCCTTCTAACCTTTGGATTTCAATAAGCCTGTCTCTACTTCTGCTCCATATTTCTCATTTGGACCCATCGGCAATCTTTAGATTGACTGGAGAAATTTGCTTGCAGGTTCTTTGTATGACTTTTGCATAAGAGACGTCTGGCCCACACCGTATAGAGATTGTCATTGTGCCCAATTCGCTTATTTCAGAACGTAGTCTGCAGACTTCTATACTTCGGTCCTTAAATTCTATATTTTACATGGAATAAGGCAGTTTGCGTCTATTTTTGCATGCGTACCTTTTTACTCGAATAATATTGGTCTTTAGTTACTCATTCTTGGTACGATCTTAGTGTTCCGCATTTGTAGAAATATCGAGTCGCCACTTCTGCTCGCTTTGATCATTAGCGCGGTAGTGACCTTTCTCACTTTGGCAATGTTTATCTTTAATTTGCCACTAAGCGATTCCTTAATCTCGGAACATTGGGCCATACCTCTTTTATCTCTGCGGACAATATCGTCGAAGCTCAAGGTGAGACTGGGCAACTCTATTTTTTCTATGAACCAATATATATATAACCCATATTGCTGGTTCACCGCTCGATGACGATAAAGCAATAGTTAGGATTATACTGATATTGCTTCACTAACTTTTAAAAGTCCGATAACATATATCCGATAGTATACAGAGTGTCCCATTTTAAAAGATGCATTCTGATAATTCTTCAGCCAAACATATTCAGCAAAAATGTTTCAGACAAAAGTTATATGGTTTGATGGAAGATATAAGAAGATACCATTGGTTTGACCTTGCGTGGCGCCGCCAACATCAAGTCGAAATCAACTTTGCTTTTTTAAATAGAAACATATATTTTTTATTACGGAACTTTATTCTATATAAAGAAACAAACAACTTTTGTTTGAAAATATATTTAATATGACTTTCATTTTCTTAATATAAATATTTACAGAAATATTTACAAGAATATTGGTTTCAATAATTTTTTACTCGAATTCTATCATCTTCACTGAAAAATAGCAAGAGACAAAAATTATTTATTTTCTTTTCGTAGAGTTCTGAGAATTTTTTCAGAGTATTTTAATTAACTTTTTAATACTTCAAGAAAATGCAGTACTCTAAAAAGTTAATTAAAAAAATCTGAAAAAATTCTCATACGTATAGGATAGTACATTATATTCCTTGTTTTTTTCAATGTCATATTTATATAGGTAGATTTGTTTTAAAAGTTTTCCTTTTTCTAGACGTTCTCTTAGTTTGACTTCTCCAAGTGTTATAGCTAAGTTAGATGTATTCAGGAGTCAAAGTTCCTGTTGACATGACTCTCCCGATTAATAAGACAAAAATCTCTTCATCATGACAAATTGGCTCATTATGAAGGGGACTAAACCTTACCTAACTTAATCTTTTTTTTGTCACGGCAGAACTCAGTAATATCTGGGAATTGCGTAAACATTACTTTCGATCATCTTTCCACCTCTCCAATCATACAGTGGCCGGCTGATGTTGAGGGACCCTGAATTGTACTTTTTCATTTATCCATCTGTCAATTAGGTTGTTCAGGACGGCTAATCTCCTGGGAATGCCTTGTTTACTTTCTTCGCAACGATTTTCCATCTAATCATCTCTCTTTCTTACTTGGTGTCGAAGGCATTAGGACAAAGACTTCCTAATCCGAATGAAGAATTCCATCATCCTTTTGTCCATCTCCTGGTAACAGGGGACATTTGCAATATAACGTCTTGTTTTCGACGGGTTATGCTCGCTGGCTTGTTCCAGGATTCGGAAGTAGTAGGTCCAGAAAAGAATGCAACGATCCTTTTTGTGTAAGTCAAATACATGGCTTTAATTGTAGCTAAGTCAATACAGTCAGATGTTGTTTTTCAAGCTTATCATGGTCACGGCGCTCACTGGTTTTTGCTACCCGTGTTTATGTGTACACGGTGTTCACATGCGTCGATGGTATTTAATTATACGTGAAGGTGCAGTGCGGTGAGAGACGTGGTCTGTTGACGTTGACGGCGTATTTGGTTTATAACGCTACGTTGTTGACATTTAAATGCGATTTAGTCGCGCATTCACGGCTGTCCGGTAAAGGAGTCCTCGCGTTCGCGAATTTGCAGACTACGAGGGCGTTAATTAGGAGTCGCGAATCCACCACTCCTTGATGGATAGTTACGAACACGCATTCGCGTCCGG